CGCAAAACAACTCGACTAACGCTACAAACAATGCCAATACCGCGGCCACAGCCGGCGGCGGAGGCCCTAATAGTAATTCACTGCTCTCTCGCGGATCAAACAATGTCTGCAATTTAGTGCGAATGGCGCTCAGCTCTAACTTTCCTGGAAACCTACCCGGTATGACATACGGCCCATACTTTCCCACTCGAGCCGACTTAGTGGCCAACTCTTTGCTTAACCCGAACCCTATATTTGCAGAAATTTTGGCCGATTTATTGGAGGAAATGTCAATCAACTCAGACTCGCCTAACACTGCGGCCAATAATCTATTACAAGGTATTTGATTAGCACTTAATGGTTTCAATGGATGATTATTTCAATACTTGTCTATTAACCAAACAGGAGGTCTTCTCAGCGCAGCTCAAAGCTATCCAAGTCTTTCCAGCACCGCATCCAACACCACATTAACATCGAGTCAGTCCATCACAAACTCCGTGAGCTCAGCGGCCGCCAGCGGCACCGCATTGGCCATCGGCGGCGGCACAACCGGATCAAACAATTTAGTGAACTCATCGCAATCGCATCATCAACAGCAACAACAGCACCACAATCACGGCCTAACGATGTCCGTCACGTCCACCACGTCCTCCGAATCGGAGCCCGACTTTCTGGAGACGTGTCAGTCGACCACTCTATTGGCCGACTTGGAGGACGAGGAGGAGCTCCCGGAGCCCGAAGACGAGAACGAAGACGACGAGAATGAAGACGACGACGACTACGAGTCGGAAATGTTGGACGAAGAGTGCTATGAGATGCGGAACGGGAAGCGCAAGAACTGGGACGACGAGTACGTACTGAAGCGACAGTTCAGTGATCTGATACCGGCCTTTGATCCCCGACCCGGCCGTACGAATGTCAACCAAACCACTGATTTAGAGATATCCTTGCCATCCACTCAGGAGTCTGTGTGCAAAGTATGCCTTAAGATATTTGATATATTTTGATTGTCTTCTTTGTTATTAAACTATTATTTTCCTGTTACTCATCATTAGTCCGAAAAGCCGTCGCCCACTCCGCAGCTATATCTGACACTTCGAGGACCGAATCTATCGAGTGCTGGCGAATTGGAAATGGATCTAATGAACCCCGAGTGGACACTCTTCTCGGCGGTTCAGCATCTCATCCAGAATTCGGACTTAAGTACAAAGCAGGAGAAGACCCGACGGGTATGGGAGCCGACGTACGTTATCGTCTACCGGGAGGCCAAACCCAATGATGACATCAGCAACGCTTACTCCACACAAATGGCACAATTGAGAACAGTTTCGTCATCCAATTCCAAAGTAATGGTAGTTTTGTTTTTTGATGATAATTGGGTCTTAAGATGTGATTTTAATGGTATTGTTTGTGTGTCGTTTAGGAGACTCTGATGACAACCCCGGTATACAAACGGCGCCGAGTGTTGTCCACTTCGGTGGACGTGTCGAACGGCGCCACTGTTGACGAAGTGTTGCAACTGTTGCGACTCTTATACTCGATGTCCAATGAGTCCAAATCGGAACCGATGTCACTCTCGCAGCTAAACGACACGCTCTTCACTGTCAACGCCGACGAGTTTATCAGCAAAAAGATCACAAACAAACTGCAGCAACAGATCCACGACCCGCTGGTACTGGTGTCGAACTGCGCGCCCGATTGGTGCCAATACCTGACACACATCTGTCCGATGCTATTCCCGTTTGACATCCGACAGACGTATTTCCTGTCGACAGCGTTCGG